TTGTAGCCACGTTAAGCGTCTGTAGAGGTGGGCAGCACGAACAAGCTCGGCAGGATAGGGGGGTGCGGGAAAGCAAGCACTATTTGGAAGTAGTCTGTTCAGGAGAGTTTTTTCTTGGTTAGTTTAATGGGAAATTTCCTTATTCAAACAGACACGAGTTTTGTTGTGTAATGGTCGAATTGTACCTCATTATCTCAGTGGAAAAAAATGACAACCCTCTCTGTCGCTTAATGGTGTTTTTTTCTTGTTTTTGGGACTGACATATCGCAACAAAGCATCCGCTTGGCTGTAACACATTCTCTGGTCGTGCGTTGTTCGACCCCCTGCCCCCCGCTCGTCTCCCAAAAAAACAGCAGGAACGAAGGCAGCACGTTCAACAAGTACTTCGGGGGGAGTTCAAAGAAGGGGGACAGCGGAGGCGACGGAAACGCGGGGAGCGGGGAGGAGGGGGGAGGGGGGAGGCGGAGCTCCACCTCGTTGGCGGGGCGACGCGGGGTGTTTGCGCGATCGGGGTCTTCGAGGGGGGGGGGTGACGACGACTGGAGCCCCCTTTGCGCAGAGGTAGGTGTGTGTTGTCACGGGCATACGTTTTTTTGTTTTTTTTCCACTTTTTTTTTTCTCTCTTTCTTTTTGTTTGTTGCGCCATTGAGGGTGTGCGTTAAGTGTATGGGGAATGCATAGAGTCTTTGTTTGTTTAGGAAAGACAGGACCGAAACAAATACCCCCAGCCCCCACGCAATAGTCGCCAAGAGAGGACGATGTGCCCGAATGAAGAGATAATATTTGCAGAGTTAATTATTGCATGTGATATCATAGTGCCCGAATGTCGGCGCTATCTCTGTTGGGAGTGGGAACGTTGATCTGTCGCAAGGGATATATATATATATGTGGCCAAAAAATGTCAAATGATGAATGCAAGCAACATATGACCCCCCGGCCACCCCTGCCATGTTTTGTGGTTGTTGGTTGTGTGCAGGCTACGGTGTTCGCCGTGTTCATCGTCGGGTTCTGCGCGACCATCGGGGTGGATCCAGTACGACCGAAGCGAGGAGCGGGGTTTGCTCCTAAGGGGTAAGGCCTAGGGCTTGCTGTATGCATAGCGCGCTGCAGATCACTTGTGCACCTGCATAGCTCGCTGCGGATCACCTGTGCATTTCGAGCTGTCAACTATAATAGCCAATATCTCCGCTTTGTACTGTGAACCAATCGAACAAATTCGTATGTGTGTGCATTGTCATCGTGTCTCCGAGAATGTTTCAACCCTTTACTCTACCAGGTGGTAACAGTCGGATAGAAGGCACCCTTTAGGTGTGTGTTTATTTGGCCGATCTAGTTGTGCTGGTGTGTGGACGCCAGTCTATGTCTGGTACACCTTTCGGTACACCTGTGGTTGACGCACTGGTCACACAGTAGGAAGCAAAAGCACAGGATTTTTTTCCTGTGTGTTTTTTATGCAATTAATCGTTGTTGTCTATGAATACGCTGCCCTTCCAAGCTGCCTCCGACCCGTACGACAAGAGTATCAAGTCGGCTCCATAATGCACCAATCGGCTCCAAACAGCAGCGTGAACTAAGTCCACTGCCCTGTATTGGCCCGCTCTGTATTTCACGCTTTCAGGCGTAAAAAGTACGTTCTCGCGGCAAAACATTGTAGCATTTAAGAGTTCAAGCGTACTGCCCTGTATCGACTCGCGCTCTGTTTCACTCCCAGCAAGACATTGACCGCGCTAAACCGGCCATGTGCCACCTGCCCTCGCTGTATCGCCCCCCGAAAAAACACCCCCCTCTTTCGGGTTTCCAGGTCTTCTGAGCCCCCCCCCCCTTCCTCTCCCCCAGCGGTGACGACTTCTCGCGCCACTGCTAACACCACCGCCGCTGCATCGCTGACGCCGGTTGCGGTGGCAGCCAAAGAAACGGCTCGAACGACACCGCCCACGCCGGACGAATTAACGGCGGCGGCGGCGGCGGCGGCGGCACCAGCGGTGACGCCGCCCCCGCCTCCAGCGGCGGTTGCAATAGGGTCAACACTGGGCGGTACAACGGGGTCAGCATCAACAGCAGCAGCAAAGGTACCAGCAGCTGCAGCAACGTCGAGTGCGGCAGTCGACGTGCCCTCGGGGCAGAACTCCGCAGAAGGTACAGCGCCCATTCATGTGGAAGCGGGTGGAGGTGAGATCGACACCTCAACAGGGTCCGCATCAACAGCAGCACCAACGTCGGGTGCAGCAGTAGACGTGCCCTCGGGGGAGAGCTCGACTGAAGGTACAATACCCATGCAAGGGGAGGCGGGTGTCGTAGATCGAATGGGGACCTCCTCGAGCCAAGACGGCACCAATGGTGGTGTATGCGTTGGTGGTAGTGGTGGGGTGTCTGCTCCACACTCGCCAGCAGCAGCAGCAGCAGCAGCAGCAGCAGCAGCAGCAGATGCTGCAGGGTTGCCCGAGGTTGTACCGGCAAAGGCACCACCGGACGGCGTCGTGGCGGGAGTGGTGGCAATACCAGAGGAGGAGGAGGAGGAGGGAACAGCACCAGTGGGGATGGCAACAGCAGAGGAACCTACCGAGGTTTCAACAAGTCTGTCTCCTGCCGCACCCAGTGGGGGCAGTTTGTCGGTAGAAGACGCGACAGCAACAACAACGCCACAAACGGAGGGACCAGCCGCCGTAGATGGCGACACTAAGAGCCCGGTAGTAGCTCAAGCAGCGGTGGGGCTGGAGGAAGCCTCGACGGCCCGAGGGGAAAGGTCTCGAACGGTTTCCGCTACCGGCGGCGGCGGCGGCGGTGGCGGTAGAGACGGCGATCGCGATCATGATGCTGTTGACGCAGATGCCCCTGTCCCCGCTGTCGAACCGACGGTAGTCAAGAACGGTAGCAGCAGCAGCAGCAGCAGCAGCAGCGAGGAGAGCAAGATTGGCTCCATCGACGTGGGCGTTCGGAGGGCAAGCATGAGTCCGTTCTCCGACACTGCGTCCTCTTGCGCCTCTTCCTCCGCCTCTTCGTCGTCATCTTCGCTCTCCGCTCCTCCCGCCCTTCTCCCCGCCCTCTCCGTGAGATCCGTGGCCGTTGTACCGGGCGCAGCGACAACGACACCGGGGCCGGTAGCGTCGAAAGCCGGCGGTAGCGGGGGAGATGACAGTGCCGTACGGACGGTGCTCGAGGAGGAGGAGGAGGAGGAGAAGGAGGAGTCGGTGAGGGAGACAGCCAGCGGAGGCATTGGCGGTGGTGGTGTTAAGGTCCGAAAGTCGTCGAGGATGGCTTCGTTCAGCGAGCTCAAGCACGACGTGCGGGAGGAAAGGCTGTACAAGGCCAACGCAGGTATGTAAGACTACGAACTGATGACGTGTAAAATATGGTTCTCAAAGAATCTCCCAAGAACTTTCTTTGGGCTATAATGTAAGTCTGTATAATACGTACAGAGGTTTTTGTTCTGTTTTCTGTTTGGTTGGTTGAGGTTCGCTGGGCTATTCGAGTCGAAAACACGTGAGCTGTGTGAGCTTTGTTGAGCTGCAAACGAAGGGAAATACACACATACGACATCGTGTGGTATAAACACACATACAGTCGGGGTCCCCGATAAAGGCGGTCGCCCTAGATACGGCGGGTGGAATTGGCTGGCATAGACGGAATTATCAAGTTGTCCTACAAATTGAATAGAGCGGCTGACCCATACCAGGCGGGTGGAATTGGCTTGCATTGACGGAATATTCTACAAATTGAAGAAGGCGTCTGGCCCATACAAGGCAGCCATTGTCAGCTGCCCCACGACCGCCTAGTTCGGGGGTATAACCCCCACTGTTCCGCTGCTGTACGTTGACGTTGCGTTGTGATGGTAGGCGGCATCTCCGGCTGGATGTATCCATCGTGCTATTTTTAGTGGAACACCGCGCCTTCCCGCAGAGTGTGGGGTCGATCGAGCGTAGGAGCTATGTAGACCCAGGTCCTAATGATGATGGCATCAAACTTTGGCTTGTTTCAGATTAACCTTGTCCAACAAGCAAGTCCGTAACGTACGTACGGAGACCAAGCAAGTACAAAAACAAACAGTAGACACAGAGTGGAGTCGAGCATGGGAATATGTTTTTTAAGCCCGGGACCGAACATGGTATCATGAAATTAAAATTCTCTTGATTGACAAAGAAGTAACTTGCCAGAGTTTTATTTCCGATCCTCGCCTAAATACACTAGAAGACGCTAAGAGACGCTTAAAGACGCTAATAGACGCTTAATAGACGCTAGAAGACACGAGAATAACCAGTCCCCGTTACAATAGTGTGTTGTTATCTGTCTACTTCCCTGCTATGCTGGCCTAGCTCATCCCTATTACCCGGGGGGCGTCTCGTTGTTATCTGTCTACTTCCCTGCTATGCTGGCCTAGCTCATCCCTATTACCCGGGGGGCGTCTCGTCTTGAGGGGGTTGTTGGACACATGGCATGCTTAACAATGTAGCGGAGGGCTGGTATCGTCGCCTTGTAGGCTGGCACGATGTTCTTTTTGCGGAACGGACAGATAGATGATGTAGCACTCGGGGGGTGGGGGCGACATTGGTTTTCTTCACGAAAAGAGCCTTGGGTTCATTTTTTGCGTGTTGATCTAGCTCGTCTTTCACGTCAAGTCTAGGGGGTTCTTCTCTTGTCTTGATCCTCCTCGCTCTCCTCGCTGCTATGCATACGTACTGCGCATGCCTGTTGTGTTTGTGTGTTTCGTGTTGTGCAGCCTTGATGGTGGCCTTCGAGGCACTTGAGGCGATGCGAGAGAAGGCGCCAGCGGGAGAGGAAGCCGTGTATCGAAGCCTCATCTCCGCCTGCGGTCGGTGCGGGAACTCCGAGAAGGCCATGGCAGTTGTCGAGGTGACACAAGAAAAGAAGAAATAGAACAGCGTTCATGCAAGACGTGATACAGATTTGTTTTCGGTTCGTTAAGGTTCGCTGGGCTCTTCGCGTCAAAAACGTGCAGCTTGCGCGAGCTGTTGAGCTTCGTGAAACTTCACAACTGGCAACCGGCAGCCACTGCCTGCTCCCTGCTTTTATTCTCATCTTGCATCACCCCTTTCGCGGAATCGACGGCGGACATGGAGAAGGAAGAGACTCTACAAGGCGAGGCGCGCCCAGAAGTACTGCTGTACCTTGTAACGGATGGATTCCTTGACCACAGGCCAAGCACCCAAAGTACCAGCACGAGGACCACACCAACACTCACCACGAACGCTGTCTGTGCTCTCATGGGCCCACTCCAGAGGGAAGGGTCCCTTCTAGAAGTATTTCTCAACCATTTTTTGCATGTCGCTGTGCGTCTTACAATAACTACGCCGGAGGTATATACGAAAAAACCAGACGATAATGTCGACTCGACTCGTTTTCTATAACCTTCTTTTTCCCTCGGTTTTGCCGCGTCAAGCGCGTGGCGGATGTGGGTTGATTGTACGAAAGATAAAGGTGGTGTCGGCCGGAATCGTTCCCGACTCATTTACTCTACCTGCTATAACCATCTTTTACGCTCGAATTTTTGTCGTGTCCGTCGCTTTCGTACAACAATACGATACATGTAACAGATGATGATGTCGACCGGGATAGTTCCGGACGCGATGGTGTCGCGATGCCTGGTGGACGCTTTCGCGATGGACGACAGCTTCACCGACGGCGGCGCTCACCCGCTCTCCCTCCTGGACTGGTCCAAGTTCCAGCCAAAGCATCGGGACGGGAGGTGAGGCCACTTTTCTTTCTTTCGGTTTGTTTTCCGTCCAATCTAAATTTACTTGCAAGTATTTTTTTAGTTGCTCCTATAATAGGTTATGTCTAGCTTGGGGGTTTATCCCCACTCTTCGTCAAGATTTTGGTGTATGCAATTGTTCCTACTTTTCTGTAGTCGTTCGTGTAGGCAATCAATCATTCCTGCTCTATGTCCAGGTTTGGGTGTCAAGCACTTGGTGCCACTTCTTAGGTATGGGTCTGGTTAGGCACTCATTCCTAACTTGGGTCCACCTTGGGTCTAGGAAGGGAGACACCCTCGACCCGCTCTCTCCTTCTCTCCTTGGGTTTGAGTAGTATCCTGCCGGAAGCATAGGGGTTCCGCGAGAGATGAAGGACGGAAAACCATCAGGACATTTCCACACGTGTTTTAATTCAAACGGTAAACTGTTCGGTAGGCTTGCTGAGTATGTGGTCAGATGGTTTGGCAGCACCGCCATGTGTAGCCGGATGGACCAGGCGTCTTTTTTAGCGGGAATATAACGATTAACGCCTTCTGGAACCCCCCCCCCCGGCAAGATTCAAAGTGTTTCACCGAAGAAACCGAACTCTTTCCTCCCCTCTTGTGTGTAAGAGTGTATTTTTATCATTGGCGTTGACCCTAACCGTATGTGTACCTTCGTGTGTGTGTTTGCAGGAGATCTCACGAGCCTGCCGGGGGGCGGACCGAGCCGACCTTCAGTTTCAAGAGGTGGGCGTGGATCTAAACTATATCTTCGCTTGCATGTCTCACAGGTTCCAGGTTCATGCTGAAGCTAGTTCCCTCTTGTCACGCTTGTCGCAAAGGTTGTGTTGTTCTATTTACGTGCATGCAGACGGTATTTATGCCTTGTCCTACACGTCGTCGTCTCGGGCAAGCGTTGCCTGTACGCGTCCATCGTCTTGGTTCACCTCGTCATCCATCCGGCTCTGCCTTTCCTGTCTGTCGTAACACGCATGTCTTCTTTGGTGACGTCGACTCAATTATATTGCCTTGTTACCCGTACCCAGCCCCTCCCCAGTTTTGACAAATGACCGGCCAATGCCTGCCAATGTATGGTATTGTACTGGTGAACCGATTCTTGCCAATTTGTCGAGTGTCGTACATATATGTAGAGGCGAACGTCGAGACTTGGTTTCCGTTTGGAGGCAGCCAGCCCGCTGTCAAGAATCCCCGCAGATGAGATCAGTATGGAATACCAGGTACCCCATACAACATCTATATGTTGACTAAATAGTAGTCTACACCGAGAGCTGTGTGCTCAATCACCCCCCCCCGCCACACACAAATGCTCAATGGTCTAATGGGTCTAACCGCTAATGCACCCCCCACCCCCCACGCTTACATTAGGCTACGCTATAGAACTAACCAGCCAGGCCATTTGACCATGCTCTCTGCTCGCCCCTCTCTCGTCTGGTATATATATCGACGTCCTCATCGACTATTCCCCGGA